AACAATATATATATATATATATATATATATATATATATAATACATTTTAATTTTAATTATATAAATTAGTTATGACAAACTTCCAAATATACAATAGGAGTCCAAAAAAGTTTTTAAATAGTAAATCATGAACATTTGAATATTGTTTTGGACATTGGGGGGCCTTGCCATCAAAAATGTTGAGAACCGCTGGACTAGTGCATTGTTTACATAGAAAAACAATTCAAAAGCAGTGTAGTGGGTCATAAAATGTGTTGTGTGAACCGAGTTTTTTTCTGGTTGTCTTGCAGTCTGAAGCCCTCAGATCAGTGTGGGCCCTTCCAGGGTCTCGACACCCCCTTCCACACCATTTTCAATTGGACTGATTCTATTCAGGACTTTCCTGAAAGTAACTGGGTCTGGTGGATATTTGAAAACATACTGAGAAGTGAACTCTTCTACTACCTGATTAGTCTCATTGTCCTGTAAGTCCACAAGCTGGATGTTTTGTGAACTATTCACATAGGAAAGGTCCATATATTCACCCATATTTTTCTGGGCAGATTTTCTGATCTTTTCTCATTCCTTTCTATCTTCTTTCAGAGTCATCACTTATTTTCTCTGGCAAATCATTCAGGGACGGAAACAGCTCATCAAGACTCTGCGAGAGCAGATCGTGAATGTGAGTGCCGAGATCATACGAACCTCACTGTAGCATCCACCGCACTTCAGTGTCATCAAAAGCTACTATATATGGATAAGAGTTTTAACCTCAGTGACTCCTTTCTTCCATCTGTCTGTCAGGAAGGAAAGGACAAAGCATTTCTCTTGAATAAACTGCAAAATCTACAGAAGGAGAGAAGGGAAATGGCATCTTACAGACCTCAGGTGCGTGTTTCTCAGGTTCTGTCTGGTCTCACCTACTTCCTCTTTGCATCTAGTTATCGTTAGTAAAATGCTGTAGTCAACAGAAAGAGAAACATATCGCGATTGTGGAGATTTCAGCCCAATACAGTCGAACTCAGGGCACTACAATCCTTAGCTGGCTTCAGAGAAACCCCAGAATAGGGCAACTACTCAACAATAATCAACTGCCTGGGGCCGAGTCTTCCAACACCACAACCACTTAATAGACAGGGAGCTAGATTTATGCATCTCATGTGTTATGATGGCCTATAAAATCTGAAAAAAGTACCAACAGCATTTATTTATAGATCATATATTGAGTAAAGCTGAAATTGAACTTGCATATTTGATCAGTTGTGCTTAAGCTGTTATTGTAAAGTCATTTTGCTCATTTGAAAGCACTTTTAAACATTCTGATCTAAATTTCTGTCATGTAGGACTTTGACCAGACACCACATTTCAACCCAAACTGGATGAATACGCTGCCCTTGGATATGTGAAATACATTCTTCAATTATTTTCAAACTGTACATGCCTCTTTTTTTGTAAATATTGCATTAATCTAACTTATTTTGAAAATTCCAACTATAATGTCTCTACTGGATGCAAAGAGGAATGATTTGGAACATCAGCAGTAATGGCATTTTGTGCTTGTCTAGTAGGTGACAGTGTGTTTACTGTGGAGCCTCGCACATGGTATGTTTGAAAAAAAATAAAAAATAGTGTGGTCACAAATTAAGAATGTGTTCCCAAGATTTATTTGTGGCCATGTTTTATTAATTCATTCCGTTGTTTTAGTTAAGTCACTCCCACACCGTATTCATTTGTTCCGTTGTTTTAGGTTAATCATGGCCATGCAGTACAGTATAATTTTCATGTATTTTTTTTTATTTAGTTAAATAATGGCAGACTAAAACAAGAGAACAAATATTAAGTGAATTTTTCTTCACCCATCATGTCATGTGCAAGGCTCCATAATTTCCTCACAAGTAGGAAAATTACTGTACTGGGAAATTTTGCCCATAGTAATTTTATTGTTTTTTTCCTCAACACATATTCTGATGCTTTACATACTTTATAGTTTATTCTGATAAAAGTGTTATGTGTGTAAATATCAACAAATAAATATTTTAATATGGAAATAAGTGTTATCTGTGATGAGCAAGTTAGAATCAAAGAACCTCAAAGCTTTGTTTTACTGACAACATTATAAATTTTATTGTGAAAAAGTTGTTGCTTTTCATACACTAAGAACTGTACAATCAATAATTAAAAAAAAAACATTGTTTTTCATTGTTGTTGTAAGAACTTCTGATATTACGCAAGTTATTCAGCAGCTTTTAGCTTCAACCAAAGGAAAATAGTGTTTACAAATGTGTTCCTACTGCTCCACCAAATCACATTTCCCTTTATCCCGTTCACACAGAAGAAAACGCTCCTTTGGCAACACCAGGAGGGTCCCATCATACAGCCCCACTTAAAAACCATGAGCGTGTTTGTTTTAAAATATAATCAGAGGCTTCCGTTACAAAGAGGAAAAAACACTTCACAATACAAAAACAAGTTGAAATGGAACGTTCTAACTAAGTCACAGAATTTCTTTGCACCGTATGATGTGCATATTACAGAGAACAACCATTGCTCTCAGGTGAGATGGTTAAACTAATACCTATGGATTCTGAAGATGCCCAAAAAGGAATAAGACAACACTTCTTTGTAGTATTTCTATTACCACAACCTTTCGGGATTTAAAGATTAAGGTGGGGCAATAACACCTTCTGTGGACCCTTTAGTATTTACGTCACCCAACAGATGGACACCAATACACACAACTGCTCTAAACACATAACTAACATGTGCCAGGTTCATTCGATCAGCTATAGTGACTGCAAAAGGCCTGTAGCAAATAGCTTATAGGTCAAACACCGAGAGCTCACAGCCCTCTGAAGAAGTTTATAGGCCCCCTGCTGGCAGCCTGTCGCTCAGCACACTTTAAACAGGCTTCATTGGGCAGGTCTGCCGCTGGAGGCCATGGCTCGTCCCTGAGATGAAGGGGGTGGAGGAGAGTGAGAGAGAGAAAAAACACTGCTGGGAGGTTTGATGAAATGAAGAGCATCCATTATTCAACAACTACAGCTCATCAGACCTGGAAGCTAAAGGAAGTGCTGAAGATTCCACTTGTAACATCACCATTTGATTTGTGCTTGATATTTAGAAGCGAGCTTGAATAGGATTATTATCCTTCATTCTGACATATATCTATAGAGAAACCATGCTGTATGTGCAGATTAAAAGGGCTTCGAGCAAAGACCTGACTTTTGAACTCATGCTGCAACACTGAAAACTGGTAGAACACATAGACTTTGAAATCATTGAGCATTTTAGACGGAAAAAGCAGAAAACTTGTAACTGCACAGACAGTATAACTACAAAGTACTGAAATGTGTGGCAAATGCAGGGTTTGAGTGAGAAAATCAGGCCGCAAGGCGGTTGTGGTATTGAACTCTAGACATGAGAAGAGAGGTAATTACAGTATAAGGTTCAACTATTAAAATATGACAATCCCACAAGACATGCAGGAAAAAACAAATCAGAGGAAGTGAGAAGCTGAGAGTAAACAAAGAGAAAAAAACCCTTTGCCAATACTGTCCCCTGAGGAGAAATTTCCTGTAATCCGTTGTTTAAGAAGACAGTTCTGATGAATGACGAATATTTCATCAAACACTATTTAAAATTGGTCAGAATCTTCAGCGAGGAAAGATGACGAACCGAAGGTGCCTGGAAATGCTCTCAGCCTAGTGGTCCCACAGTCCACATTCAATAACACAGTCACTCTGTTGATTAAGTCATTGTGCAAATGACCAGCAAATTCAGAGACCACCAATTTGCAATGCAAATCACATTTTTAATACATCAGTTCATATGTAAGCACTACAAGTCATTTCGCATCAGCCCTCTCTCACTGTTGGTAAGCATGCAAGACCATGTGACCGAGGTACTTCAGTTTTTGCAGGGAGAACAGGCCCCTGCAAAGAGCAAAAAAGAGGAACACCATATGCAGAGCACTGAGGATAATGAGTATATGCAAATGAGAACACAACCAAAGCGAAATATAAGCCCATAAAACAACTTCAAAACGAGGCCTCTCAGCTAATGCAGGGTTTGACCTGCATGTATTCTCCAGCAGAGGGCGCTAACACAGTAGGAAATATGCTGCTAGTGGTCACTGCAACAAAATCAAAGAGTCTGATGAAGGGTTTGTTTTTATTCACGATCTGTGAGTGAGGAACCAACTGTACTGCAGCAATGTGAGGGGAGAAATATAGCCGTCTGTAGCGACAGGAAGTGTTTGTTCACATCCTGCTCTCCCCACACCGGGAGGTGCCACACCTCTGTTGCGCCATCAGCCCAGCCCCGTGTTGATTTCCTTATGTGTTTGTCCGCGTGCACCTGAGTGTTATATAAGGGAGGGGGGCGGCCCCGCCCCTGTGCCCGGAGGCTAGGAGATCTTACAGTTGTTCCTGGTGCAGTTCTGTGGTGGACTCTGAGGCGGCCGGATGGATTTCGAGCGTTTGAGGCTGTTGCCTTTGCTGCCTCCAGCAGCGCTGGCTAGTGAGTAGGACCGTCCGTGCATCATAACAGCATTCATGCCATTCGCCATGGAGAATGACTTCAGATGGCTCTTGATGGCCACAGGAAGCGGCAGCTTATCGATTAGGTGCACAGGGGTGCAGGACACAATGGCACGGCAGCACAAGTCCTGCAGACTGAATACTGCAACGACACAAAGACAGAACACACACACACACACACTTGAGTTACAACACAAAGGCGATCAGAACGAACCTGAACAGCTACATAATGAAGCCATAAAAACAAAAACAAAAAAATAAGCATGTGATACTCCAGGGATTCAACAGTAGCTGCGATGCATCCGCATGCTGAGATCATTTTTTATTCTCTTTACAAAAGTAATGAGAATGTTTTAAATTATTCAACATTCCCTCAGCAGATGTTAACACACTGCCTGCATTTCTTTTCAAATGGAGTCGAATGCAAATGAGATTCACATGGGAAGCCTGACATTGGAATATTAGTTAACTGTTAGAATGTGATCTACATGGAAAAACCTCTGGGAAGGACATTTGATTCGTCTATCAAAAAAACAACAACATAGTGCTGTTAGCAAGGCTTCTTATATGGGGACTGGCTTGTTTTTGAAAGAAATATCTTGTACTCACCAAAGCTGCATTTATTTGATCAAGTACAGTAAAAATAATAATAATATTGTGAAAAATTATTACAATTTACATTTTCAAATGTAATTTAAATATTTTACATTTAAACATTTTACATTATTATCAATTCTAAAACCAGTTGTGCTGCTTAATATCTCTGTGGAAACATGATACATTTTTCATGATTCTTTGAATAGAAAGCTCAAAACAACATTTGCAATTGTAATCTTCTGTAACATTATAACTTTTTTTGTAACATTATAAATGTCTAAAACTTTTTATCGATTTAAAGCGCCCTTGCTGAACAAAAGTATACATTTATTTCAAAAAACAAAATCTTACAGACCCCAAACCTTTGAATGATAATAGAATAGAATTGAATCTTATTCTGCTTCTGCATGAACAGCAATTAAGAGTGTAAATCGCTGCCATTTTGAAAGGCATGTTGAAAGTGCTTCCCGTTCTCAGAACTGCAGGATGCTGCTTCTGCTAAACAGCTCATCTGGGGCACTGTGAGGTCTCATGAGAAAATCCCACATAATAGTGGAAACAGACAGAGAAAGTGCTTCGCTGAAAGCCTTCTGCCTCTAATTACACGGCTCTGGATGACAGAGTGTGGTTTTCTATGCTAATGGAAAGCTATGCCGATCATGCCAGTCTTCCTGCATCACCCAGAAAGTCGAAACCAAAGATTTCTACTGTATTTGTGGGGTTACGATCTAAAATAGCAGAAAGAATGGACCTTTTGTCACTTTCTTATTGATTTCAAAGTGAAGAGATGTTGGTGCATCGCTCTATTAATCAACACATGCTTGAGGAAGACTCACCTCTGTTAGGCCTCCAGAACTTCTCCATGCCATGCCTCATCAGCACAATACGCGACAGCTCTGTAAACGACTCGATGACGTTGAAGTTGCAGAGGGGACTCACTTCGAAAAACGTCATGCCGTTCTTTTCTGCGTACGCCCGTGCCTGCTCTGTGGGGACCTGTCGCTTGAATGCCAGGTGCAGCCGGTTACCCACAAGAATACGGGGTACACCAGGTGCATGCTGAGGAAAAACAGAGAGACAAGAAAGTGGGTTAAAAAAAGGGGGGATGGGAGGACCAGAGAGATGAGAACGAGGGAGATACCCAGTCCTGTCAGGCTGAGTGAATCACAAACAGTGTCACAGCTGGCCTGTCTCATTTATTTATTCAATGAGGCCTGTCATATCTGTGCCTTTCTCTAGTCCACAGAGAAAAGAGCATTCACTCATCTCTAGGGGCTGTACTGAGCAGTCACAAGTGGGTTCAAATAAAATCACAGTCAAGTCTCAAATCTTATTCTTTGAATCTTAAATCTCAAATAATGCTCTGAAAGACATGTATCAGTTATTAGTTGATATTGGATATTTCATAATTATGCTCATTCCTTTATTCATTAAAAATACTAATAATTTACTAACACTGTTCAATATCATCTTCAGCAAATTTGAAAAGAAATCTCAAAAAAGTATATCAATTTTTCAAACTGTGCATTATAATGTTGCCTAAATTTACTTTTACATTTAAAACAAAACGATTGATTTTACTTTTTAGGACTCCATTTAAAATAGTAATTGTATCATTGAATTAGAAGTACATGGTTATTGGCCATAACATGAAATTACTTGACAGCTTAATGCTATCGGTCAGAATTTTCATATTAGTTAATTACTCACACGACTAAATGCCATATAAAAAATGGCTACATTAAATGTTGTTAAGTTTCATCTGGTGTAAGTGGACATTGCTTGGACAAAATCAGCTGCAAAGTGGACCAGAAATTATGCTGAGAGTCAAAACTTTGACTCTCTTGAGAGTACTCTTGGAAAGACACGAGTCAAATCACAAGGTTTCAGCCAATTTTTAAATTACGTCTTACAGATGAATAATAATAATGTTACCATTAATAATGTTTTATTGGCAGCAATAAAAAAATAAAACACATAATGTATACACTAGTAATAATATATATGGAAAAATATATCTACACTACCATTCAAACGCTTGGGGTCAGTACGTTGTTTTAATAGATTAATATCTTTTTCCAGCAAGGACGCATCAAAAGTGACAGTAAAGACATATAATCAGGGCTCTACAGTGCGACCATTTGCGACTGAAAACTACTGCGTGTGACTGAAAAAATATTTAGGAGCACCAGTGCGACTGACCCGATCGGCATATGCGTGTTTGCACTGAGGGAGCTTCAAAGGTTCTAACGTAGCCTACTTACATGTTTCTGCATCGTTGAGTAATGTATCACAGACGTATACTCTCATTATAACAAACAAAGTGTCGACAGAGTGTAAATAAGAGATTCATGTGCAGTGTAAGGAGCTTCGTTGATTAGAATGGAGTTTTGTGAGATTGCGATGAACTAAGATCAGTGACAGATTTTAATGATTATTAAGGGAGTTTGCAAATGTGATATTGATTTAATACAACAGTTCATTAAACAAGAAGTGAATATTAAGTGACTTATATTGTCCGACAACAACACAATTGCCTTCTTTTGCTCTATTTCGTCAATGAAAATAGTTTTAAAAAAAAGTAACAGCTGAGCCGCTGCGCATCTGCATTCAAACACAGCGGTGTTTCGTTTACGAATTAACTGCGTTTTAAACGAATCTAGTGAGTCAATGATTCAATTACCAATTCATAAAGACAGTCACGTACTTCGTTCATGAATGAATCAGCCGTTCGAACGAATCAATTGAATGAATGATTCAGTGATAAAATCAGTGACTTGCCGCCACCTGCTGGCAGTTTAAGTTTCATTTTTAAAGGGGTCATATGATGCTGCTTAAAAGAACATTATTTTGTGTATTTGGTGTAATGAAATGTGTTTATGCGGTTTAATTGTGAATTTGACATAAAAGATTACATACTTTTAATAAAGTTAGAAAAATGAAATTACAAAGGTAAAAACTAAATTCCCTGTAAATCACTTTAAGAAGTCAAATATCACCTCATAATGGGAAGGTACATTTTTTACCAGAATTTTTGATTACTGATTAGAAGGTGCTTCTAAATTTTTGACCGTGCTCCTAAATTTTTTAAATTAGGAGCACAAGCGCTCCTAAAAAGAAAAGTAAGCGTAGAGCCCTGATAATGTTACAAAAAAGCTGTTCTTTTGAACTTTACTTAAAAAGTACCAGTTCCCACAAAAATATTAAACAGCACAGCTGTTTTCAACATTGATAATAATAAGAAATGTTTCTTGAGCAGCAAATTAGAATGATTTCTGAAGGATCATGTGACAATGAAGACTTACAGGAATAAATCACGTTAAAATAAATTAAAATAGGAAACAGCTATTTTAAAATGTAATTATATTTTACAATATTACCGGTATTACTGTATTTCTGATCAAACAAATGCAGTCTTGGTGAACATAAGAGACTTTCAAAAACAAAAAATATCTTACCAACCTCAAACTTTTGAACGGTAGTGTAAATATTTTGCGAACGTATCTATAAAACTAAAATGTCTCAACCTTAAATTACAAAATGTTTATCAGCTGACTGCCAGAGACCTTAACATTTTCCTCCCTATACTAGTTTGAAGCTTACGGAGCAAAGCACTGCACCACGCACCCTTCTGAAGCTCAGCAAGGTCAAAGCTCATTCTATAATGAAATGACTCACTGTGAATCATCAGCTTAAGTCTGACTCAAGTAAATGCGGCAAAGTCAAAGCAGAGCCTCAAGTATTCTAATATTTACCAAAGCAGGTCAAAAGTCCCCAAGTTTAAGTCTCTGGTGCCAACGAATACAACACACTCTCTCTTTCTGTCATATGTGTGGTTTGTGCTTTCTGCAGCTCTTTGTGTGAAGAAATCTTCAGCCATGCAACAAACACACACTCCCTAAGCACAGATATGCACACATATCCAGTTAAATATACGCAAGAACATACAATTCTCAAACAAGGAAGGAAGGAAGAGTAACAGAGTAGCCTAAAAGAAAGGTGGCTGTAGTAAGAGAGGACATCCTTTCTGGATATCAAACACAGCAACAGGAAGAGTAGGAGTAAAGGAAAGGAGAGTCACTGTGACACTGTATGTTATGAGTCTGGCTTCAACTTGCTGTAACATTGAACAATATTCTTTTATGAATACACATATGTGCAGTGCAGTAAGCGAGGACTTCTATCCATCAGTCTCAAGCTTATAGCTCACAGGACTACGGGTATATTAGTGATCTCACTTCCTGTTATCATAAGGAGTGGCTTAATTTTACCTCATCAATCTCCCTGATCCAGCGGTCTATCCCGTCAAAAGACCAGCGGTTGGTGATGTCATACACCAACAGGATCCCCTGTAAAGGACAAACAAACATGCATTGTTAGCCGGTATCCTGTTCATGCAGTGAAGAGGGATGTTAACACTTCCACATGAACTGCACTCTGCAAAACCATTTCAACACACTCCAAGCCCACTAGTGAATTTGTTGTCTTGTTGGATTCGGACTTTTGAACCCAACTGTATATAAACATATTGGTCCATCCTTGTAGATTATGTGAACTGTATGTCATGCATGTCCATTTTTGCCTTAAGCAAAGCACATAGTACAAAGTTAATCCTCCAAGCAAGAACAAGTGCTTTTAAATGTGCTTTTACCTGCGCTCCCCTGGAGTACGACCTGAAAATGGTGCAGAACCTGCCTTGTCCCGAGGTGTCCCTAAAAGCAAACAGAGACAAGTCAGGACAAACAGCTTGTAAACACTATGTCAGTTAAGCTTGACACATGAGCTCGGTTTCAAAACACTGTGAGCTTCCTTCATAGACATTATTTTAAGGCATCATTAGAGCATTTATAATGTGAAAGCTGTTCCAAAAGGGGGGGGCATTAAAATTATGCTGCCTTTTAAGTTACCTTCTTTCGGCCATAATTAATTTCTTAGCAACGAATGCAAAACCAGAATGCACTGTGACAAGCTCTGTGAAAAATTCATCTAGTATGGCAGATGATTATGAGAAAATATTAAAAATACATTATTTGTGTGCTATCCATTTCCTATGCTGTTAAAAGCATCGCATTAACTTAACAACATGCTAACATCAAACTAATGCTCCATGCTTCAGCACTATATGTGTCGCACAGAGTTAATGCCTATGAAAAGCGTTCCAAATCGGTCACTTAAGAGGTTCTATTTCAGTTACAATGCTCCCTTAAAAGGCAGCTGCCTATATAGGCAGTAAATAGAAAGGCGGCTCACTACATTTTGGAACAAAGCTATGTGTTTGAAATCGACACTGTTTTGGACACTGTACTGAGTTTAGAGTTAACCCAAATACAAGATGACTCAGGCACTTGAGTTGGTGTCACAGGCTCGAAAAACGAGTTTTCCACTGTGACACATTCGCACCCAAATAACCTTTCCAGCTGCCTACACTCTCTATCTGTGAGAATTTCTCACACAGTTAAACTAGCCGTAATGAGGTGGAAAGTGCTAAATAAATCTGCATAAAAAAGTCCAAAGTGGCAGCTGCATTTCTGAAGATGTGGGACTGAACCACTCTAAGGGAAAGGTGTTTAGTGCTGCACTTCCACAGTCACATCAGAGAGCTCATTAAATATACCTGGGATCTCTGAAACGTGCATTAGCAAAGATATATGTAGGTTGAGATTAAAGCCCTGTGGAGATACTCTACAAGGAATATGCAGTAAGAAGCCCAATTACTATAAAGCATTACATTATATAGCCCAGCACATTACAGTAGACCCTGGGAATTTCCTCAAGGGTTTTGCGAATTGCTCCTCAGGCATTGACCACACTCTGTATTAACGCTAATGAGCTTGTTGTTTGTCTTCATAATGTGTAATTCTGCTGTCTTATACTCCAATGCCTTCCTGATTAGGAAACTTTACTTTCTCTCTGGGGAAGTGGCTAAATGCTTTTGGATGTACAACAGAGAGTGGGCTCGAGATTTCTTAGCCTCCTTCTGTTAATGGAATGTTTACTTGATGATTTATGAGCTCTTGCAATTGTGTATTTTATATACAGTTATACATTGATAGTTTCTTTTGAAAGAAACAAGTTTCAAAACTTTCAAATTCTGTCAATTTTATCAGGAAATTCAGTTCAAATGGCAGCGCAGAGTGCGAGTGATTGCACCCATTCCATCCCTTACTACTACTACTTATAGCACAAAATACATATGACTGAACATCAGAAGGTATGTTGAAAGAAACCGTGTAACTTATTAGAATGTATCACGTCCCATAATCACTCAATCAGTGTTTCAACCATGGGAAGGAGTTAATAAAACAGCTTGTAAACAATACGTCACATTTACCTCAGGAAAGTCATTCAGTGTCCACAGCTTGCTCGTTCATGAGAAAAAAGTCTAAAGTCTAGAGAAGAGCATTTAGCTAAATATATGCACTCTATTAGCCTGTACATTCATTACATTTTGCTTAACCCGTTAGTGATGCCTTAATTAATGTATGTTTATATAAAACTCTCATGAAATATTATGACAGCCACTCTGTAAATTATTATATTTCAACAACAAACTGGAGTAGAAACAATTTTATAATAAGACTTACATTTAGAAAATATTTAGAACATAAATCTAAAATTTATTTGAGCTTTTACAAATGTCTTTTTTTTCTAATAATTTGTTATTAATATTATTACATATTTGTATTAATAATAGCAATACTACTAATACTACTACTAATATTATTATAAATATTATATATTTTTTATTGCACCATGAGATTTTCATTGTTTATTTTCATTGCAATGAGAAGGAAAGCCTGCTGTCTGTGGAATGAAGCCTTATTATAACGCAACTTAATACTACATTTGCTTGTAGCGGTTGATGCATTGTTCAGTCTTGAGGGGAACAACAAGACAGGAGTTGTGATCCACTTACCAAAGCTCTAGTTTCACTCTCCTCCCATCCAACAGGATTGTGGTGGTCTTATAGTCGATTCCTGCAGAATGAGAGACAGAGAACACTTAGAGATAGGAGATAGGACACGTACCTGTCTATCTGCCATCAGATATCACACAAGGTTGTCTACTGAAAAGAAAACACTCTAGACAGGATCAGGAACTTGAAAAGCTTCGGCCGTCAGCATGATTGCATTTGGTGTACTACCTAATTTAATTCTCAGCCAATTCTTCCTTTCATTAGAAGGCACTAAAGCTGAAATGACCATCTTGATAGTGACTGTGCACATTCAGTGGAAAGCTTGACAGCTGCAACCAATCTGCTGTTACCTAATGCTATCATAGCTGAAATGTGGCCAGGACGCTTCCCATAAGGCAATTACTTTGACTGCTTATCTACATTTATCATTCATAAAATGAAAAAAAAAAGAACACAGTACGGGCTCCATCAACTGAATGGCAATATCTGCATTTTCGGGCGCTTCACAGCAGGTCAGCATTCAAACCAGTTTTGCATTTTAATAGACAGCTCTGTCTCTAACAAAGGCTCACTTTAAATTAGTCTTTTCATACAGGCCTGTGTCTGTAATATTCACCATGCCATGAGTGCTTGTCTCAGTAGATCATCTTTTTGCACACTTGAAAAATCTGATTATCCGTAATGCTGACAACATGGACACGGACTCGTCGCCAGCCTGGAGTAGTCGGGTAGAGTTTTTCATCATAATGAGAGTGGTTTTGGCCATTGCTTCCTCTGGTGCATCAGTTCTAAAAAGGAAATCAACTTTGTTCCTCTCTGATTAGAGGCAAAAACAAAGTCCTCTTTTGTTGACAGCAGCTGGTCAAGTTGCAATATCAGTTTTATTTCAATTAATTGTGCAGCATTACAGCAGTAAATAAACTAATAATAATAGAAATGTAAAAAAAAAAAAAAACTATATACTACACTGCTATACTATAAAATAATAATAATAAAAATATTTCTGTTAGAGTACAACTGTAAAATTACAATGGTAAAACATATGGCTGTCTTAACTTTATTTTCAAATGCTAAACCGTTGAGTTTTTATTTTGGCAACAGCAGGTCAAGATGCAGTTTTCAGTTTTTCACTATTTTGATCAATCGTGCATCCCTACATCGGAGGCTTTAAATAGATAAAAGGAAGGGAAAAGATGGGACGATCATCTTTTTTAAGATACTTCGTAAGGCTTTGATGACTCTGAAACAGAACATGTCTGAAGGAGGGTCTGCTCTCACGCTCAGCGAGACAGGCAGCGTAAGATCTCCTGAAAGGCCACCGGCGACTGGTTCTGAGCCCATAGGCTTCTTCAGTCCTCCATTATTAAACATCTACAAGAGAATGTAAACGGAAAATAGTGCGCACTTAAAAAGAACCACTGGGGCTGATTCCCTGCTGCTCTCTATCCTGCAAAAGCTTTACTCTTAAGCAGGGCAGCACATCAAGCCAAAGGCGCATCGCACTTCCTTCCTCTAGCATCCCTCCTCCTTCGTTCTGGGTAATTGTATGGGCAGATGGCTCGGCTACGCGGCCTGACAAGGGCAGTATGGTGTAATTATCGTCTCAGATTCCAGCTCAGGCCTCAGGCCAAGACTTCCCAGCCACGCGGAGCAAAGACAGCCTGAAGCGGCTAGTTTTGAGGAAGAGCCTGGAAGTGAAAGATCCAGCAGGACTTGAGGACACGTGAGAAGGATCAAGTGGACCAAGTGGACAGTGACATGTGCGGGCATGTTTAATTTGATTTCAACAGCCTATTATCAATGGACAGAGAAAACAAAAAATATTTTCAATTGGAGAATGTAGCAATGTTGGATTTTTTTTTCATAGAAGGAGGCCTTTGCTTTCAGAGCATGATGTCTTTGTGTCTCATTGTTTGGTTTATTCTTAACATATTTAGATGCTGTGAATTGCAACATGGCCAGCTATGCTGAGGAGCTTGAACAGGGTGCGTCTGAGTTTGAGAGTATTTTCAAAGACTGCGAGCACATGAGAACAATGAAACAAACATGCCTGAGGCGGAGAAAGGTAGAAAGGCTGGTTTCACGGAGACCCTGCATTTCAACAGGAGCTTGTGTGTGTGTTTAAACAGAACACAACATGACTCTGACTTCCATATCTGATCACCACTTTATCATTCATCAGAGGGAGAAGAACTGTGGATATTAGCTTTCCACAAAAAATTAAACACAATGAGAGCAGTGTCATAATGAAGTCTTTTTGAGGGTTTGAAGGTTTTGCTCAAAATAACACATTCAGAGTAACTCTGTCTGAGGTTTAGCTGCAAGGCTGATTTTAGGCCTCATTTTGGTTAAAGAACTAATGGAAACTCTGACTATAACGGGGGGAAAAGGTCTATAGCAGTGGTTTTGCACTAGGACTAGGGCAGTGCTACATATTTTCAAAATAGACTGGTCGACTAACTGGTCTTAAAGGGATAGTTCAACCAGAAATTAAAATTCATCATTTATTCTCTTCTTCTCATTAAAACATTAAAAAAATCTTATTAACCCCAAACTTTTGAACATTAGTGTACATAAGACACGCAAGGTTCTTGCATTTATAAATGTTTAAGCACAGAACAACAAAACTGAATCTCGAGGGACATTTTTAAAAGTTGGACTATTTTAACTTAATGTGCAGTCTTTAAAAAATCACTGCAGCGGTGCATTAAATGGGATTAATTCAAAAAAGCACATTTCTGAGAGGGTCTTACAAACTGTCAAACATCTAAAGTAGGGATGCAACGATACCATTTTTTTCAGAACCGATCCAATACCAAAAATTCTGAGTATCGGCCGATACGGATATCAGCTAGGGCTGTGCAAAAAATCGAATGCGATTTTCATGCGCATTTCGTCAGTAAAGCCGCTCCTGTGATTAGTAGTAAATCTCCAGCACATGCGTTCAGATGGAGCGGCATTTACTACACAGAGCCGTAGTTCACTGACAAGTAGGGTTGGGTATCGAAAACCGGTTCCATTTTAGAACCGGTTCCAAATTTCCAAGAACCGGGTATTCGAGAAGATGCGCGCATTTCGATTCTGCTTAACGATTCCTGCGTTCACATTTTTATGTGATTAAAAACTATTTAAGTGCAGGAACTGAAAGAACTTGCACCCTGTTTGCGTGCAGTGCACACGAAGCGCGAGCACAGAGAACAGAGGTCGCGGTACGGGTTCCCAGTTTGTGTCCGTTCTCGAACCGTTCCGTGTATTTCCACTGTAGAAAAGGTTGTTCCGGGCCGAAACTGACTTCTTTCATTATTTGTCAACCAATATGCAGAAAACTACGTCAGTATATCATCATAAACACAGCCATTTTTGTCTTACGTGAAAGTAAACAGATGAGAAAGAAAACACACATGTACAGTATTTTTAGATCTGTGTCCGTTTGGTGTCAAAGAGACAGCAGCCTAATAAACGCGCTGCCTGTCATTAATGTTAATCAAAGAACAAAAGAAAATCATTCACTGATCTTGACTGAATAGATTTAATAACATTAATTGATTAATCTATATTTTATTTATGTAAAGAAAACTATGCAGTGTTTTTAAACTTTTAATTACAGTTTCTGTACCTGAAATTTTGTTCAGTTGTATTTATTTATGATATTGCTAATTGATTTGTTTGTTCCTATCTTATTACTGACTGTTTACTTGTCTCTAACACTTTAATATTTGAAATTTATATTAATCTAGTTGTTTTTGCTGTGGTATTTTTTTTTTTAAAACATAGGCAAAAGTCCTCTTGCAGTGTTCTGTAGGCTGCTGATTTTTGCTCGTGTTATTCAGCTGTAACAGAATGCTTTGTAAAAAGACAGAATAAATGTTTGACATCTAAATGTTTGACTTAAATTTTTTTTATATTGGATTTTTTATCTTATTGGAATCGAAACTAGGAATCAATTATAAATGTGGTATACTGAATGTTCCGGAAGTCATTACAGCAAATTAGCATGACAAATCAAGATTGTCGTGAACTGTGATATCTTGCCTAGAGCGGCTTCCGCTGAAAGAGCTGTGCTGAGAGGAGTGACTTGAGTAGGAACTCATTGAAGATGACCGTGAATGAGATTGGGAAGAGCCAGAACCCGTGAACGATGAGGATCGGGATGAAGACCTGGAAAAATAGAGAAATGTTTAAATAAAAGCACCACACCTTAACTTAAAGGAACAATTCACCCAAAAATAAAAATTAATTTATTTACTCACCCTGATGTCGTTCTGAACCTGTATTCTCTTCAGACTTTTATTTCTTTTGGAACACAAAAACGTTTCAACTGATTTTGTCCATATATTGAAAGTCAATGGGGTCCAAAACAACATCTTTCTCAAAATATTGTTTTATGTTCCAGAAGAAACAATGACAAACAGGTTTGGAATGACAAGAGGGTTTTTCATGAACTATCCCTTTAACTAGCAAAAAAAGTGGGCAAAGCATCCCCTAATCAAATGACGCCAATGTCTGGTTCAATAGTTCCATGGCAGGTATCTTACCTAGATGAATTGGAAAGGGAAACTGAAGATCCGGAGGGCCTGTGTCGTCTATGGCCACGTGGAGGGGAGCCCATGAGACCAGGTCTTCTCCTAGGGGACTTAGACCTGCGCCAGGGGTCTTTCCATTCATCTGGCCTCTTGGGCAATGGGACCATCTCCTTCTTAGGTGGTGGCTCCATTGGCCCTCTGAAAAGAAAAACAAGAAAAAGGGGATTTAGAAAGTATGCACCTATAGCGTATATAGAACTATAGAGTTTCTTTAACTTGACAGTAGGGTTGGGTATCGAAAACCGGTTCCATTTTAGAACCGGTTCCAAATTTCCAAGAACCGGGTATTCGAGAAGATGCGCGCATTTCGATTCTGCTTAACGATTCCTGCGTTCACATTTTTATGTGATTAAAAACTATTTAAGTGCAGGAACTGAAAGAACTTGCACCCTGTTTGCGTGCAGTGCACACGAAGCGCGAGCACAGAGAACAGAGGTCGCGGTACGGGTTCCCAGTTTGTGTCCGTTCTCGAACCGTT